AATTCTGAAAGTTGTGCCTTCTGGAAAAGCCATCAGAGTAGATCAACCATGGATAACCTGGGAGCCAGGGATACTTGAAGTTTGGTGGGACAAACATGCAGCTAGTAATCTATTTTGGCTAAATGATCACCTCATGTGGAGATCATACAAAGCCATCATTAAGGAAGTTTGGCCAGGAGGACTGCCAGATTGAATGAGGGACAGGTTGGCGGGTGTGCAGGGTAGACACGAACCAAAGCTATAAGAGCTCAGCTAGAGGGTAGTGCAGCATGCAGTCTCGGCAGAGCTCCTCCCAAAACTTCCATAGCAGCTCTATGAAAATCAGCTGGGCATGTGGTATGTAGAAAGCTCCAATGGTCAGGTCACAGCAGCAATGAGTTAGGCCAGCTTTGCCCCTTTCCTATGAGAAATTAACAACCAGGAGAAAAGCCACAAGAGAGGAAAATCAAGCACTACACTGAAACCCACTCTCACTGTTGAGCTGCTAGGGAGAGGGGCACAGAAACAAACCAAAATATAGATAGGTGATAATGATCTGATCAGAATGGAGCTTAACTTTTTTTTTTAAAGAAAATGGAACTTGGAAAAAAAGAGGTATAAGAAACACCACGACCACAGCAACTCTTACAAAGGAAAATATTTAATTGGGGCTACTTACATGTTCAGAGGTTTAGTCCATTATCATCATGGCGGGAAGCATGGTGGAATGAAGGCAGACGATGCTGAAGAGTTGCTGAGAGTTCTATATCTGGATCAGCAGGCAGCAGTAAGAGGAGAGTGACACTGGGACTGGCTTGAAGCATCTGAAATCTCAAAGCCCACCCCCAGTGGCACACTTCCACCAAAAGGCCACACCTCCTCCAACAAGGCCACACCTCCTAAAGAATCTATGGAAGCATTTTCATTCAAACCAACACAGGTAAATTCACTCCATAATATGTCACTGGGAAAGAAAAGAGGTTCTCCAAGGTTTTAAGAAGAATGGAGTTCTTAGTTGTTCTTTCCAGAAGAGAGATTTATCCTTGAAACTAGATACGGATTCTGATCCTCACACAAGCAACTAGAGAACCAGAGGCACATGGGAGCAGAGAATACATCCAGAAGCAACTGCATGCTAGCTGAATGCTGTTGCCTGCTGGCTTAGACCTCCTCCATCCTATAGACCTTTCTAGACTGTCATGGTAACTGGTAAATTGTTACCTAAGCAAATATTTTCAAAATATGAGTATGAATAATTTGAACCTTCCATGTAAGTGTCCATGTTCCATCAATGACAGAAATGTGAACTACTTGCAAAGAGGGCTTGTGGTTGAGGATGTGGCTCTCATGTAGAATGTGTGCCTAGCAAGTGTTGCTCTGAGCTTGGTTCCTGGCAGTAGAAGGAAAGGAGAGGAAAGAAGGGAGGGGAGAAGTGAGGCAAAGAAGTGAGGGGGGGGAGAGGAGAAGGGAGAGAGTGAGGGAGTAACAGCAATAGGGCATGCTTATTTGCCATGATACTATATTGTGTAATTGAACTGTAAAATCCATGTGATGTCCATATACTTTCATATCTACACAAGTAAAACTGGAAGCATATCTTCCCAACTTGGTTTAACACCTTTTTAAAAAATGCAATAAGCTACCAACTTACTAACAATGTAGATGGGTTGCCTTTAGTCACAGTAGGCAGAAACAGGTGGAACTCTGTGAGTGTAAGGCCAGCCTAGTCTACATGGTGAGTTCCAGACCAGCCAGGGCTCCACAGTGAGACCCGGACAAAAGAGAAGATGGGCAACATCTTCTGATTAATGTAAGAATGACAGATCTTCCTGCAAAACAATAGCATCACTGGGGACAATTGCTCAAAACATGAGCCTGTGGGTGCCTCGCCCGCTGCACAGCCTGGCCGAGAATGTGTGGATTGTGTCGGGATTGATAACACAGAGACCAGACGGTGGTGCAAGAAAGCTTCAAGAAGGCTCCCAGAAGGCCTCTGGCTCCACTTTATTCTTACCCTGGCTGGTTATTATATGCCCTAACACCAGAGGCAGTGGGGGGGGTCAGGAAGAGGCGGTTAGTCATTGGAAAAGGTCAAGGTCAGGGTGTTCCCGTAGGCAAGTCCTTATCAGGAACTTATTGCTCCAGTAAACATTTCTTAAGGGCACCGTATTGTTTTTAGTAAACATGTCTTCTCTGTAGTTACAGCTGCCTGCTCCCAGGCTGATGGGGAAGTGGGCCTCCGGCTAAGGTCTGTTGTTCCCACATGTGGGGGCATTTCAGATTCAAATCATAACACCTGACGCCCTGCACTGTGGGGCTCACTCTCTAGGTCATAGATGTTCTAATCACAATTACAGTGTTATCATACTTTACATCATTGGGGGTGGGGAGTTTCTTCCTTTCAATACCTTCAGCAGGAAAAACCATGGTGCATGGTTGGTCACACAAGAATGGCTGTGATTTTTGGGGTGTGTGATCATTATTACCAAAATACTTGCTAAGAAGCCACTTAGGGAGGTGTTTAATTTGGCAATATACAATTCATCATGGCATCTGGAGTACAAGGCACCCACAGTCTGGAAGCAGAGAGCAATGAATATTAGTGCTAAGCTCATTGTCTCCTTGTCACTCAGTCCAGGACCCACCCTATGAGATAGAGCTACTACATTTTGGGTAGGTCTCCACTGTTTAGTTAAACCTATCTGGAAACACCCTCATAAACATACCCAGGGATGTGTTTCCCTGGGGATTATACATCCTGACAAAGTTGACAAGATTAATCATGGAGAGATGCTGTGGTTTTTTTACTTTTCTGAATTTTGGGTACCCAGCAATTTTTGGCCCTTTTTTCTGTAACTACTTTTGATACAAGAATAACATAGGTTGGGTTAAGAAAGCAAAGCTTTCCAGACCTACAGCAGCTCAGTAATTTTATGATTTAACTATTTCCCAGTCATGTCAGCTATATTAACATTTACCTTAACCTTGCAGCTGAAGTAGCACAGAACAAGATTCACCAATATAATAATGTCATCATAGCTTGTAAGAATTCCATTAGTCTCTCATTTTTCATTGTATATTCTAAATTGTACAGATCTATTGTTATCCAAATTGGCATTTTAAAGTATTTTTTACTTTTGTGCATAAAATATCAAGCTATAAATTATGTAAACTATATATATGTAAAAAAGACCTGTTTTAAATGAAATAAATGTATATGAAATCTGTTTATTCTCTAAAAATGTTTCCAAATACTCTACATCAGTTATGTACAGAACACAAGAAGCTCCTCTGAACTAATAGCCTCATGAAGGTGACAGACATAGACACTAATAACTGCTATGTAGGCCAATGTGACAGACAGGGGTATGGCCACAGCAAGGGATGGAGAGGAAATGGAAGGGGCAGTGGGGGAGCCAAGGAAGACCTGGGAGAAACAAGGTGGAAGCAGAGCCCTAAAGATGCACAGCAGTTCCCAGGCAAAAGAAGACAGCACTGAGACGCAGGAAAACAGGCTTGTCCAGGGCAGAGGGCAGGAACAGCCTGCGATACTCACAGCATGCGCAGAAAGATGATTTAGGAAGAGGGGGAAAGATGACAGAAGAAGGGCAGGGGACACTTACAAGAGGTTTCTTTCACAATAGAAGGCATCTAACTGTCCCAACCTGCAGGACGTCAACCTGGAGCAAGAGACCTAAGGACCGGGGATGGGGACAAGAAGACACGAAGGAATGACAAGACAAGCAGTGGATCAAGTGGCAATTTTTATTTTTCTCAGGGCAGTTAATGTACTTGGTAAAGCAGGAGAACGGGAGGGGTGTGAGGGTTGCTTTGGGTACCAGGTGTGCACATAGCAGGGTATTGTTAGCACATAGAGTAGGATATTGGCAAGGTAAAAAGTTCAGGAGGGAGAGGAATGGGTGGGCTAATGGCCATTGTCCAGGTGATGGTTAGGGCTGGTTGACTTTGGACAAGCTTTCTGGGTCACGGTGTTCCTATGTTCTACCTATGTTGTTTCTCTTCTGAGTACCTCCAGAAGGCTCCTTTGTTAAGGCTAAAGGCCAATTACGTACATCTTTAGACTTTAGAAAGTACAGGTTTGGCTCCAAAAGATCAAGGCACCTGAGACACTCCCAACATCTAACTGTTACAAAGTCTCCAAAATATTCCAATTGGGAAAGCCAGCTTTAAAGTCACATCTTATCAGATCATCCCTGAAATAAATTGGAGGTAAAAGAAGCTGAGCATGAAGAGGCCTACTTCAGCTGGGAAATGCTGCGGGCTGAAGAAAACAGCAGCCAGATGAGAGGAAGGGGAGAACAGATGTAAAAGGCATCCCAGAGGCAATGCCAGCAGAAGCCAGTGACAGGCTGCAGGTGGGACCAAAGCAAGTAGTCACGGCCAGGAAGACCCCTGAGTACCTTGTGATAACCAAGTCTTCCCTGCAACAAAATCACCTCTCTCTGGCTGCGAGGCCATCTGGCAATGTCCAGCCCACGGCAGCTTCCATTTCCAAATGGAATCCATGAACCAACAGAAATGATTCCCAATATATATTGGATCTTAAAGTCCTAAGGGCCAGAGACCAATCAACTGAATCAAAGTATGTAAACCACCAAAGGTTCCTCTCGTGGAACTAAAAAGTATCGCACATTAAACTTCGAGGTGAGTAACGGAAGTCACAATTAGGTGGTATATTATTCTTGGGAAGTATTTTATCCATACCAAGTACTGCCAATCCAATTAATAACAGCCGAGTCTCCATAAGCCAGAGCAATCAGGTCTATGGCCGGACATTAGGGAATGGAGCCGTCAGCCCCAATTTCTATGCTTCTCTAATACTCATAAATATTTAATTTAAACTGCAAGGCAGAGAGGTCAGTTTACCGTCTTAACAGCAGGAAGCTAAGCTGAAGCCATACAGCTTTTGCCTCCATTTGAATTAATATCCTGGTATTCACACTTCTACTGATTTCTAAAGATGGTTTTGTGTTAGATAGTTTATATTTACACTAAAGAAACACAATACATATTCACTTTAATGTGCCATGTTGACTCATTTTTGACAAGAGGAAAATACACAGATTTTCTTCACATTGGTACACAACAGTGAGGGTGGCTATCATCACGTGACTTAAGATGCCGGGGAGTCTTCATAAAGGACTTCATCTACCTTCATGTCGTGCTCCTCCACTGGGACCTGGAGACAGATCTGCTCTTTGAAAGCCAAAGCCAAGGTGTAGGGCTTCACTTCCTGATGCTGCACACAGCATTTCAAGTAGGTGTCATAGTAGCCCTTGCCCCGCCCTAGCCGGTTGCCATCTTTGTCAAACCCAAGGCCTGGCAAGAAGATGAGGTCAAGTCCACCTGTGGAAATAGGGATGTATATGGTTATTGCAAGATCAATTCAGGATAGCAGCTGTGTTTTATTTCTGATAACAATAATCCTTTTTCTGATTTCTAAAGAAAGAGCCGACCTTTGTGAAATTATGAAAAAATCAAGTTGGACAAAGGAGCTAATTCTCCAGCTACTTAGTTAGTCCTGCATCCATCCTTCCGCAGTTCCTGGTGGGCCTCTATAGATATGGCAGATTGCAAGCGCTGTCCACACCAGCCAGAGGGTTCTCCATGGCAGAGCCTCAGATCTTCCGTTAATTCTAGCATGCTTCTCCCTCCACGCACTGTCCAGTTTGGGAGGCAGCAGCCTGGACAATGAGATGGAGAGGTGTGAGAGGGTAAGGGAAAAGCAGGACGGATGGAGCTATTCTCATAGCTCCTAAGAGCACTGAGAAGCCCACTCCTCTTCCTTTTCCTCCCATTGACAGGCAAGGGGAGGCTCAGCCTGTCATCTTCGCTGTGGGCTAGCCACTCAGACAGCACTGCTGGCTAGGCATACCACGGTTGGAAGCCAAGGGCTCTCCAGCACAGGATGCTAGAAGCAGTGTTATTCAGACTGCCGCTAGACTGGCCCCTGCTTCAAGCAGCTGCTGACTTCCTATGAGGTCAACTCCACTTCCTGTTCCTGGCATGTACCTGTCGACCCTACCCGTCAACATCCCACACTGAACAGCTCAGGTGCAGTCAGATCCAACCTCCAAGCCTGCCTGTCTATCACAAGCCCTGCTTGCTAAGAATGGTGGTGTCACTGACCTTTTCTCTCTCCCCATCCCATCCATTTATCTCTATAGGGATGAACAGTGTCCTGTGCACTCGGACCTTATTCCCTAGGGTCCTCTTTATGTTTCCAGAGCAACTGACTTAAAGCTCCTGTCTTCTAAACCTGTAACACGCATACAGTTTCTATGACTTCTGCCTCTCATGGTAAGAAACCTATTTTGCAAAGTCCTCAGAGGAGACAGAGTCCCTGCCTTCAAGAGATGGCAGTTCAGTTAAAACAAAAATTCAGGCCAAGGCCAAGACAACATCTCTATCATGTGTCCCAAACAACAGAGACAGGAGCTCTAGAGACTCCAGCAGAGAGCAAGTAAATCTAGCTAGGTGACAAGACCAGGTCATGGGGTATTGTGACTTGACATGGATCTTTAAGAACAAGTTAAGGGTCAGGTTATATCCTGGAAACCAAAAGGGGGGTAGCAGGAGCAGCGTGCTGAAGAAGCGGCAGGCAGCACTTCTGTTTCCTGGAGATGGAAGAATGGGGTAGAGAGTAGGACAGACAGACCAGCTTTCTCCAGCACGAGCCATAGACGTCCTTAAAAAGGTGTGCAGATTTGTCACAAAATTAAAAGTAGAACTACCATAAAATCTAGCAGTCCTACTCCTATGGATTATCCACAAAAATTAAAACAAGATCTTAGAGGATCTTTACACACTTCCATTTTCGTTGTAGAACTGTATACAATAGCCAAAAGGTATACTATCATAAATGTCCAACACAGTAGCAACTGATCAAAATAAACAAACAAAAACAAAAAACAAAACCCATGATACATACATATGGCAACATATTAATCTGTCAGAAAATGGAAGAAAATGTTGTAATAGTGGACAAGGATGAACTGTGAGGACACTATGCAAAATGAAAAAGATCATATAAACATGTGCACTATATGATTCCACTTACAGGCATCTAGAGTAGTAAACCTTTTATAAACAGAAAGCAGAATGAAAGTAGAATGTCATTTGCCAGAGGCCCGAGGAAGATGCTTTTAATAAACACAGCATTCAGCATTTTAGTCATGCAAGATGGAAAAGTCCTAGAGGTCTGCAATATGACAATGTGCTTACAGACAACACAAATGCATGTTACAATTTAAGAGGTTACATCTCATGTGGCATACTAGATAACCTAAGAAAAAAACTATAGAAATCAAGCAACAACAAGGGAAAGCAATAGAGCAGCTGGGACATCCACCAGTGCCAACTCCTAAAGAGAGAGGCATAATTTTGGAGCTGCCACATTTATGCTGGTGGAAGAGGGAATGGAGGAAGGAAACAGGCAAGAAAAGCCATCCTCAGCCCTCAGGCTGCAGCCAAGCTTGTTGCCACTGCCCTGCTCCTCCCTGTGCTTGGTCTGCTGCTCTCCCTGGAGTCTACCTCGTAGAGCTGAGTGTGTATGTCTCTGTCAACTCCACTGGATAGCAAATTTCCTTGCAGACCATAACTTTTCCAAGCCATCCTTCATGCTTGAATTTTAATAGACTTCCAGAGCACTAAGACCCTGAAAGACAAGTACATTATCTTCAGATAGATCAATCCTGGCATGCCATCCCTACTTTAATAAGTCTAAATACATATATTTGGATTAAAGAAGTAACATTATGGGACAAAACAAGTAAGTTTGTCTCCGTAGGCCTGATGTGAATGGGAGAGCTGTTAAGCAGAACTCAGGGATCTGAACTCGCCCTTCAGGGGTCCTGGCATTCTTCTTAGGACTTTGGCTGTGGGTCCCTGCCTACAGGATTACCCCCACCTAACATTTACCATTTACCATTTGTGGGCTGTGGCCCCTGGTTCCAGTAGTTACTTAGGAAGATTTTTCTGGTAGGCTCCCACTTCTGCTGTCTGATGAATCTGAGTGTTTTTCTGGAAACATCCTGTAGCCCTCACTCGACTTCATCCATCTGTGGTCTCAGTTCTTCCTGTGCCACCAACCTTTATTGCCTTCTCTCCTCTTCCCCACCTGAAACACACACGCAGGCGCACACTCACACACCACACACACTCACACACACACTCAAACACACACACACATCCCTCTGGGAATATTCCCTCACCATAACACTACTTCTGGATGCCCCTCTCCCCAATGATGAAGAAATTATGGGGACAAGAAAATCAGGTATGGGCTCAACAAGTTTTCCATGTCATACACACTAGAGTGTGACCCTAGACAATCCCTAATGTACCACAAAGTCAAAATTCTGTAGGAAAACAGAAAAGCCTTCCTTCTTCACACATACTCTTCCTGCAGCTCAGAGTCTCATTAACAGAGGACAATGGTATCAGCACAGCCCACTCCTGCTGTTGTTTAACCCCTCAGGCTCTTGCTTCACAAGCCCTGCTGGAGCAGAATGTACCTAAGACAGCCAAAGAGCTCCACTCCTCAGGATTGCAACAGGAACTTCAGGAAGAGGTCTCTGGGGATAGCTAAATCCTTCTGCACAGTCATAGTTTATTGTTTGTTTATGCTTTCTTGCATTCAAAACTGTAACACTTACCTTTGCCCCAGCCTCACACCCTGTGTTTGTTTGCAAACTTTCTTTTTTCCCACTGTTTGGTGATGCCCTGAAACAGCAGCCACCTCTGAAGGCAGCTGGTAAGGTGCAAGGACCATGCTCCGTCCTAGCTGTGGGATCCAGGGCGAGTCACTTTCCAGTCTGGGTTTCAACATTATCACCTGCAAATCTGCTTGGTCCCTGCTAGTCACAAATATTAAATTAGATAAAGCTTATGAACTCTACAGTTAGGTGCCGTCTATGATAATCACACTTATTGTGAGACTTTCTCTTGTGAATTAAGAAATCCGAGGCACCGAAAAGGATGGCGTTCCTTGGGAACTCCCAGTGAAATCAAGCACACCCACTTACTCCAGTCTTCCATTAGAACCGGTTCCTGCTCTTTCTTCCCCAGGGCTCAGGCAAAGAGGGAGCGAGACACTGAGGAAAGTGCAGGTAAAGAACCAGAGTTAGTTGTTGAGTTTTGTTTTCTGTAAAGGACCCTATAGTAAATCATTTAGGCTATGTGACACTGTGGGTCGCAGTCAGTTCTGTACTGTGAAAGCAGCCGTAGACAATATATACATGGATAACTGGCTATGCTTGTTTACTAAAACAGGTAAATAAGTATCCACCAATGCCCAGCATTAGGAATAAAGGGGTGAGTAAAAGTGCTGCATCTCCAGGCAGGCAGGAGGGGGCAGACTGCTCTTCACTGCACACATGAGAAGCCATCCAGAGAGCTCGAAGAACTCTTCAGTCATTCAGTTCAAAGAGGAAGCTACGCCGGGAGGGTAAGAGTCAGCAGCTACACTGTTCCCACGCTAACAGGTAAGTGTAGCTGAGCAAAGGAGTGCAAGAAACAGCCACAGGCCAACTACGTTAGAGGCTATGGCAGCGCAAGAACACAGCTCTCACCTCAAAAGGGATAAGGGGTAAATTATTCTAAAGCCAAATATTAGTGATCATGGGGCAGGAACATGGATTCAGTTATTCCAGACACCAAGAGTGGTAACAGTTTTGTGAAGTTTTTATACTTACAGAACAAAAAGTCATAAATCAAGACACTCTTCAAATACATGGCGGGAACACCACAGGTCAGTAACAGCAAGGCAAGGGAATTACAGTCATAAGCTTCAGGTAGCAGCGGTGGCATTCTTAGCCTTTGGGCTGGTGGGAATTAGTGATTTGTGAACACATCACAAAAGGATTTCACCTGGTAATCACAAGGATGCTGGATATAACACAGAGCTGGGCAATGAATTGCTACAGGTGTGCTAAAGACAGCTCATAATAATTTAGTTACAGACCTGCAACATTCCAACTCTCCACAATCACATAAACCTAGAAAATTTTGCAGAATTCTTAACATAAGTGAGACTATTTGTGTGTGTGTGTGTGTGCGTGTGTAGGAAGGACTTCACAACATTTTACTGAAAGATGGACTGTGCAGGCTTTTTTTTTTTTTTTTTTTTTTTTGGTTTTCCGAGACAGGGTTTCTCTGTATTGTCTTGGAGGCTGCCCTGGAACTCGCTTTGTAGACCAGGCTGGCCTCAAACTCACAGAGATCCGCCTGCCTCTGCCTCCCGAGTGCTGGAATTAAAGGCGTGCGCCACCAACGCCTGGCTCTGTGCAGGCTTTTGAACAGGCTGCCATGTTGAGATCTCAGCACTACCATGTATTTAACTATGAAACATCAATCAAAACCACCTTCACCTAAAACCTTGAATGAATAAGCATATTATGATATAAAGCTTCCCTGAACTATTAATATCAAACGTCAACTTAACTACTGCATGCCTACTCCTTAGGTCACACGGCTGACTGCAGAGACTCAGACACGTCCATCAATCATGTTCATAGCACAAAGAACCTGAAATCCCAAAACAAAATGCAGGGTCAGTAACTCATGACAACAGCTCTTGTGATAGACTCAGAAATCAGTATTTGAACCCATATCAGTCATGTTAGAGCAGACTGATGCACGATGCTTACTCCTCACAGAAAAACAATGCAGAACACAAGAGGTAATAAACCAAACCAATTATGTGTTACCATAAGACATAGTCAACTTCTGATTATATATATATAAATGGTTTTGAAAAAATATTTTTTTCTGGGCAAGCAACATGGTTTACTGGTTAAAGGTGCTTGCCAACACGTCACATGGCAGAAAGAGAAAACTGACTCCCTAAAATTGTCCTCTGACTCCACAACACACACACACACACACACACACACGATAAAAATGTAAGAAAAAGGAAAAGAAACCTGGAAACCCCCATGAAGAATTAATCAACTAGATTGCCTAATAAAAATCAGCAATTAAAAAAATTACATCATGAGTGCATTTTCACTCTGTCCCAACATGTTTTGGACACTGGGAATGTCAGTGTAGAATCATACACATCTGAAGACAGGATGACCCCTGGCTATTCGTTTCATCATTGTTACTACAAAATCTTTGCTTTGACATGGACACCAATGTGCATCAAAATACAGAATCCACACTTATCACCAGAGCGCTGGGCCAAGCACACAGCACCTGGTACAATGCATTCCTGGGTGTAACAGGGCACTCTGCTGACCAGTGTATCACCGCATAAGAAGCCTATCTATGCCTTGCATTCAAAACCAAGGATATTATAAGTGTGAGGCTTGACTCAACCCCATGAACACTATGTGTTTAAATGAAAGAAGTAGTCACAGACCAGATCAGAATTCAGAGGGCACCCATTGAGGTTTGCAGATCTTTTTGCCACTGAACAAAGAGTTAGATCATGAATATATGGATAGTGGTAGAAATGGAGGCTATTTCTTAAGAAAGAAAACACTACCGAGTGTAGCAGCCAGAGAACTAGGACAACTACCCAGCTCAAAATCCCTGGGCCATTAATGTCATCACCCGTTATTGGTCACTTCCAAAGCACCTACCTTCTCTCAGTTTTGTACATTTGTCCCTTACATGTAGCCTTGATGGGAAGAATTTCTGTGCTTCTGTCAAATCACTTCTCTCAAGTAAACCTTGATCCTCTCTGTGCCCTAACCTTCCTCTATAGTCAAAGGAGACAGGAATTTGCAAAGCTGAAACAAGAAGAAACCTGAAGTTCATAAGGTACCAACTGCTGAGTATTTCCACACAGCAGCCTCCACCCTAGAAAAGTCAAACTAAGGTGGCCTGTGAAGACAGCTGCCCTTCTCTCTATGATATCTGTGCATTCTTGTGCGTCCATCTAGAAGTAGGGAGAGGATGTCTCTGGTATCAGCAGAATGGCAGCTAGACGGGCTGCTGGGCAGCAATGTGGGTGCTGCATGGTGATACTGAATTCTAACACTTCAGCATCCTCTGGTTTCTAATGTGTCCACATGTCAGAGTGAAAAATGAAAAAGACTGTGAGTCTAGTGGAAACTAACAAACAGATTTACAAATAACAAACAGGTTATTTTCAGTGGTTGCTTCTGGGCATGGAGACTTGGATTATTTTAGTTTTTACTTTATGTCTCATCTTTATGATTAAACACTGCTGAATTCATTTTTGTTTTATATAGACATAAAATTACTGTCCCAGTGCTATAATGGAGTAAAGAGTACAGAAAACTTTGGCCCACAGCCATGTTAACAAAGTAGGAACAAAAACATAATGAAAGCTAGGTCTATGGTCATGGTAGCTGAGCTATGAATACCATCCCCCAATAGAAAAAGGTGAAGGACACCACAGGATTCTCATCTGGGATCCCAGACATCACTTGTTCCTGCAAACCAGCTATGAGTGCTCTTGGGAGATGCTACAGTATATAAAAAGAGGAAGATTATGCAAAGTGGGAATCCATGATACAACTTTCATGACATCATCATACATGATGGACTTTGCAGTGATGTAGCTGTTTGGGGGCCACCCACTCTCCTATAAGTAACGCATTATCCATGTTCTTATAAGCAAGTCTAGTAAACAAGCTCAATGGTTTACCACATTGGACTTCGGTGGAATCCTCACTTTGGTTTGATGGGGGAAGTCCTGTGATTATGTCAATAAAGCACTGTTGGCCAATAGGGAAGTTAGATAGGTGGGACTAGGAGTCCAGGAGGACTCTGGGAAGGAGAAACACAAGGAGTCAAGATGTAACGCCATGGGGTAGGAAGCCTGGAACTATTCTCCGGTAAGAGAAATACTTAGATTAACAATTATGGCGTAATTACTTAAGTCAGAGCTAGCCAGTAAGAAACAAGCAAGGCCAACAGCTTCATAATTAATATAGCCTCCTGTGTGTTTATTTGGGACTGATGCGGCTCTGGAACCAGGCTGGCGGGAAGGCTTCTCTTTATATTGGTTGTTGTTAGTGTTACATCTGGGGTAGTTAGATGCCTTTTCGCATCTTCCTGGGCAAAATTAATGCAAAAACAGGGCACAGCTATTTTTTTAAATAAGACCATGTGTGTATGTACTCTAAAATATTTCTAGTCTTTACCAGGAGACATACTTCAAATCATGTTAGCTATTTTCTTAAGCACTTGAAAACTTAATTATACTTTGACCAACACCTCATCTAGAAAATATACCTCAAGTAGTAAGATAAGAGGGAACAGGTAGCAATTATCTGGCATTATTTTATTAGACGTCATGACCATCACTGCTATCCCTATGAACAACAATCATAACCATACATGAAAAATAGCAAATTAGTTACCAAGAACCAAAGTGGGAATAGGAGAGCCAATTCAGTGTGCGTATGGTGTGCGCGTGGGTGTGTGTGTGTGTGTGTGCTCATGTGCATGTGTGTAGGTGTACACCCACACAGGCACGTGAAGGTCTGAGGAGGCCTTCCCATGTTCTATCTTCTCTAAACGTAGAGATAAGTACCAGAGATCCTCTGGTCTCCACCTTCCCACAGTACTGGGATAATAGGCCTGGCTTTTTGCTCAGGTTCTGGGGCCTTAAACTCAGTCCTCATGCTTGGCACGGAGCCATCTCTGTACCCCTCCCCCCAATTCTTTAACTACATCGGCTTGCAACCCACATCCTGCCAATCAAATACGGCTATAAAGTTTCCTTAGCAGGAAAGCTTGCTAGCCCTTGATTTGGGCATCTCCCTTAGGGCTTAAGGGCACAGAAAATCAAACTTCAGTTCATTCTATCCTAGAAGATATTGACTAAAATAAATATGGACGGGGAGATTAAATTGTTTTCACTGTGCAAAATAATGTAGAGAAGCGGTATTCTCTAATCCAAACAGCATTCCTAAGTATTATTTTGACACTGAGTTTGGGAGACATTCACTGATATTCATAGTCAGATGGGCCCAAATGGGACAATAGAAGTGGGAAGAGATCAGTGAACAATTTTTTTATGCTTTTTCTCTAATCTGGGTAACCTCTGGTCATGTGATTTTCTAAAAAAAACTCAACAAAAAAAGAGGAAGACAAACTCTTCAGTCTAAGCTAATGACTCTTAGAACTCTTTCTCTGTGTGACACAATCAAGAAATAAATAAGAGAACCACAGAAAGACAAAATACTGTACAACCCCACTTACATGTATCTAAAGCAGTCAAACTCAGAAATGGAAAGGAGAACCATGGTTCCTTAGGACTGGGAGCGGGGGGTGGGGGTGAGTTGGGGGGAGTGTGGGGGTGTGGGGGTGGTCATCTGGTGTGTGTGTCATCTTTCAGTGGACAATTTCAGTTCCCCAAGTAAATTTTTTTTTGGTTTTTGACTTTTGGTTTTTTGAGACAGGGTTTCTATGTTTAGTTCTAGCTGCCCTGAAACTCTCTCTGAAGACCAAGGTGGCCTCGAAATCACAGAGATCTGCTTGCCTCTGCTTCGTGAGATTACTGGTATTAAAGGTGTGTACCACCATTGCCCAGCAGAGATCCATTGCACAACTCAATGAACTTAACACTGCTGAATGGAGTGTGTCAGAATGGCAAAGCTGTGGATTTATACTATATGCTTCTTTACAGTAATAAAGAAAAACAAATATGATAGGAGAGGTAGCACAAGAAAGAAGAGAAGGGCTAGGGGCCTGGCTGGGAGAGTGTTTCCCTGGCATGTGAAAGCTACCAGCATCGTTATTGAGTTAATTAAAGTGTGGCTTACTCTAAAGCAGCATTTCTCAATCTGTGAGTCTCAATCCCTTAGGGAATCAAATGACTCTGTCACAGGATTCACTTAAGACCATTGGGAACACAAATATTTACAGTACAATTCATAACAGCAACAAAATTAGCTATGAAGTAGCAACAAAATAAGTTTATGGTTGGGGGTCACCAGAACATGAGGAACTGTACTAAAGGCTTGAAGCATTAGGAAGGTTGAGAAGCCACCACTCCAGAGTAATGAAGAGCATCTCTTCCAGATGCGGGGTAAGAGTGTCTTTGGACTTCTTGCTGTCTATCTTACTTTGTACATGATCAACACACAAAGTCCTAATCAGTTGTAGTCCTGCCCATTTCTTCAGCCTCAAGACTTTAGCAAAAATGTAACTAGACGTACAGTA